TTTGCATTAGAAAATGGAAATTAAGTGGGTTTTTTTTTCTTCACATGTCTGAGGTAAAAATGATCAATAAATATTAAGATTCATCATGTTTTATGAGTGATTTTTGTTGCAACCGTCCTATTTATCACAGCAGAGTTCTATACAAAACACATTTAAAATAAATGTTGATATAAATCTTTATTTATTTATTTAAAACTAGGAAAAAAAGGAAAAGGAACCCAAAAGAAGACAAAAGACTGAATGTAAAACAAAAGCAGACTGGGTTAGATATAAAATCGTCTGAATGTGGGTAGAGTAGGATACAGGAGTAAAAGAAAACCAAGAAACAGAATAAAATCCTAAAAGAACCTAAAAGTCAATAATGACAGATTCATTTGGAAATTGTGATTTTATGGATTTTTTTAATCAAACTTCTAAAACACAAAGAATATTACGTTTTTTGATTGTTTACTTAAATTCCTCCATTTGAGGGGTTTTGTTCACGAGTGAGGGAAAGCTGGAGTGCGAGATCGATCGGATTGGTGCTGCCTCTACAGTGATGCTGGCGTTGTACCGGTCTGTCGTAGTAAAGAGAGAGCTGAGCCGGAAGGCAAAGCTCTCGATTTACCGGTCGATCTACGTTCCTACACTCACCTATGGTGACGAGCTTTGGGTAGTGACTGAAAGAACGAAGATGCTTTAAGGTACAATGCTGCACACATGGAATCAGCTTCCTCAGGACCTCAAATGTACTCCAACTCTAGTAAACTTTAAATCTAAATTAAAAACCTTCATGTATTCATCAGCCTTTGAATAAATGTTCTTATGCTGCACTTTCTGCACTGTAACTGCAACCCTTTTTCCTTTTATCTCTTTTTTTAAATCTGAAATTAATATCCACATTTCTTTATTTGATTTGTTGTGTAAAGCACTTTGAGTTGCCTTTGTGTTACAAATGAAGCTGCCTTGCCTTCTAAACTAACTTTTCCATTAATCAGCTTTCATTCATATATAAAAATGCATGAAAACAATAAATAACATGTGCTCCGTGAACATTAAATTACATGTTTTTCCCTCTTAAATCAACTGAATGCTTCACAATGCTTTAGCAAAGAGTGACTTTTATTTTCTATTGTGGTGTTTGTATCCACACACATACACACACACACATGATTTTCACTGGTTACCAGTAACATAACACACACTGGGCCAACATTCTGCCAAAAGTCTGACTGGGAGAACATGTAAAGTTTGCATCTGTTAATCTGCTTTTCCAGAGGTGGTTGAGACGGGCACGATCTAATACATTTATCTCATCATTACATTCATTTACTGAGAATTAGAAGTTGTTAACAATAAAGAAATTATTTTTTGAAGCTTGGCATTAATCATGTTTCCAGCCACTGCATGATCTGAAATCATGCAATGAATTGTTCTAATTGCTTTAGGGTGAGTTTTTAATTATTTCTTCCTTTTAAATGCATTTAAAGTTGCAGGTGATGAGATCGTGCAGCTGTCAGGGGGTGAACTCTGGTCGGATCGCCACTTCATCAGGACCAGCACACAAGACAAACAGCTCACTCACACTCCTGCCTAATTTGGAACAGATCACATTTCATAGCTCTTATCATCCATTACCCTGTGGTTATTTCTGGGAACAAACTTGCTCATTATTCTCAGCCCTGGAAGCAATGTGCAGTTTAACCAGCGTGAAAATGAGGTGAAAGGCAGAAACAGGAAATGACAATAATCCACTGACTCTTAAAGGCATTAAATTGGTTAAATGTGCACTGGTCCAGCAGTGAGGAGGGAGAAACAGGAGGGAATTACATGAAGAAGGGGAAACAGATCTTCTCTGAACATAACACTGCAATATTTCTGTCTGCAGAGGGTGCTGAAGGCCCGTTTCTCTCACAGGCAAGCCAGAAGAACAAGGAATAAGAGCAAAATTAGATTCATCAGATTCAAACTCTTACTAAAATTAGAAATTAGCCTTGTAGCTGCTTATTGTTACTCACGGCTGTATGTTTATTATGTTAAGGGGGAGCTGTGGTTGTCACTTCATGTTTTAAAAAATGATTTAACAAAATGTACATTTTAACAAAAACCAGTGAAAACGTGTGTTTCAATACCTCTCAAAGTTTAATTTTGTACGAACATGCAATATTTTAACCATTTTTTGATCTTTTTTAGGATAAACAAGATAACTTAAAATGAGTTAAGCACATTTTTTCATTCATGCTTCAACTTTTCTGGATTATTATAAGCAAAGATCTATTTGTCACTGATAACTGTTTCCATCGTCTAACTTTACATATTTCAGCTATTTAAAAACGTAACTAAGGTTGAATAAATATGAACAAACCTGACAGACAGATCCCAAAAGCAAAACAAAACAAATAAAGAGCCCAACAATTATTGTCATATCTAATCGCTGTTTTTGACTATTACTCTTGCTTAATCGATCATTATCATCATCATCTTCATCGTCATCACAATCATCATCATCATCATCATCATCATAATCATCACCACCACCACCATCATCATCATCATTATCATCATCATCTTCATCATCATCACAATCATCACCATCATCACCACCATCATCATTATCATCACCACCACCACCACCACCACCATCATCATCATCATCATTATCATCATCATCTTCATCATCATCACCATCATCATCATCATCACAATCATCATCATCATCATCATCATCATCATCATTATATCATCATCTTCATCATCATCACCATCATCATCATCATCATCATCACAATCATCATCATCATCATCATCGTCACCACCACCACCATCATCTTCATCATCATCATCACCAATGCCTTCACCACCAGTACCATCATCATCATCATCACCATCATCATCATCATCATCACAATCATCATCATCATCATCGTCACCACCACCACCATCATCATCATCATCACCATCATCTTCATTCTTTATTTGTTAAGAACCTTCCAGAACCTTTGCGGAAGCCCATGATGCAGAACATCCATACATAAAATTACAGGACAACATCTATAATAAAATCAACATGGAGGAATAAACAAGATAGAATAAATATCACCGAATAGCTAAACAGATAACAATAATTAAAGGACTTTACAATGAGGAATAGCTAAATCTAAAAATGAGAAGGTGCTTCATGAATTAATCTAAAGTATTCTGTTTTCCTTGAAACGTTTCACCACAATTTAGATGCTGTTTCCTTTGTTGCCAGCAGATGGCAGCAGATCTCCTCTATTTCTCTCCATGCTGTTGAATTAGAATTTAGAGAGAGGGATTCAAAACACCAGGAAATGAGTTTTTTTAGCCGTTTAAATTATTTTATATCAGAACTCAAATTGTTACCTGGCAGTAAATCAATGTAGCAAAACCCAACTCTACATGAAATTGAAATTATTGTTAAAGCATGAGCCATCCCCCCAGAGGCAGCTCCTGGTGAGTGAAACTGTTTTAGTCACCCCCCTTGTGAGATGCATCCTGTGTCTGGGCCTGTCTGAAACATGTCACGTATACAGATGAATGGCAGATGACATTTTCCCTTGTCAGTAATGAGAAACCCTGGAGTGGAATGATACTGTTTTATGACTAAATCTGTTGGTTTAAATACAGATTTCATGTCTCAGCTGACTTTTCATGCCTTTGCTTTGTTGTTTGATAGAATAATCATCTACATTTTCTTTTCATTTATTTAATACCATCTCAAAATTGCATTTTGTCTCATTTGTGTCCCATCTTTGTGTGTTTTGGTAAGACTGGACATGTTTTTGTTTGTCAAAACATCCGTAATAACATTTGTGTATGTCTCTCCTTCAGGGATCATGCATCTTTTAATATCTGGATTTAAGTTATAATGTTTCCAGGATATTTTAATTCCAAATATCTTTGGACAACAAAAATATGACAAATGTTATGACAGTAAAAAAAAAGTGATTTATACTTATACAGCTGCTGCTTGGCTTAAAGTTATGCTGCATGACATTTTTATGGGTTCAAAATACAACTGGAAGAGGGTTAAACGAATCCAGGCTGCAGAGCGGGGTGAAATAAAAGCCAACATCTTCATCCTGGAAATAAAATTTGCCTGAGGTGAAATAAAAACAAGGTGAAAAAGGGACACGGGTGCATTCTGATCATGAAAAACAACCCAACTCCTTCGTGTTTATCTTTCAGATGTATGGAGTGGTCATCTTGCTGATGGCAGATCTGTTCTCGGCCGTTTGCAGTGATGGTGGTGACTGTGCACGGGGCAGTTCCTTCAAACAGATGAGACCATCTGCTGAGAAAAGAGCAAACAGAGAAAGTCACCGTCTGTTTCCTGAATCATCTTCACATGTCTGCTGTTTCTCTGTAGTCAACTCAACAAACATATTAAACAAACTGTGATTTATTGGTTTCAATCACATTTCAAATAGGACATCTTTAAGGTTTGTATTCAGACTGTAGTTAGCTCTGAAAATGAGAATCTGTTAAAGGGTTAGGGTTAGGCAAGAAAACTCATAGAGGCCACAAACATTCGAGTATATGGACTAAAATGGCATTTACTTTTCACAAATGCATAACAGTAAATTATGATTGCATTTCTGTAAAGTTAGTTTTATAAAGGTAAGACAAACATCATGTAAAACAACTTAATACAATGAAATTTGTTTAGAAACACAGTATTTTTAAAACTTTACATTGCTACAAAGAAATTAAACAAAATATGTGCAGTACATTGTTTTAGGAATTCAATTGTGTAAAAAATAACTCAGTACTGCTTTACTCTCAGTAGAGTTTTGCAAGAAACGGCAAAAGCTAAAACTATTACAAACATTGTATTCTGATTATTTTTACATTTGTTGAATATATCCTGGAAAATCGCTTTAATAAAATAAAAATAAAGTTCTGTTTTTTTTTTACCTTTTCCAAACAAATTTCACTAATACTACTCTCAAAGCGTAAGCAGTGTAGTAATCTCGTAATCTCTCGCGATAATTCGTATACAAAGTCTCGCGCTCAGCTAATCCAGTCTTGTTGGTTTGTGGAAACGGAAAGAAAATAAACAAGGTCAGAAAGCGGTTTTTTATGTTGTTTTAACGTTTAACATTTCGTTTGGGAAAACTTGAAAACTTCACCAGTTTGTGCTGCACCTCCGACGTCACCGCGTGTTGTTTTGGTGAGATTTGAGCAAGTTTTTATTCGTGTTTAAAACTCAACACTATTTGCAAGGCTGCAGGTAGTTTCTTACCTGTAGCTACTTGAAGCAAAAACAATTAAATACAGCATGCATATTATTTAAAATTAGATGAAAGTAATTTTAGTAAGAACTTGGAACTGTAACGAAAGTTCAAAGGTCAGTCTTGTCCATGCAATGTAAAACCATTTGTCAATGATTAGACCCAACGTGTGCACACATAAACACTCCTGATCTGCAGAAACATCACCTAGTATGAACTTTTCCCTTATTTGTTTCTAAATCAACGTTCATGACTTCACAGAAACATCCCTGATCAGAGATGACAGCTTTAAGTGGGAAGGTCCAGACTGTCTTGGGTCTGGTAGATCCAGACCAGTTGGGTCGCACCATGACCCACGAGCACCTTACCATGAGCTTCGAGTGCAGCTACGTCTCCCCTCCACCTGCTGATGAGGCGGTGGCCGAGAACCCCTTTCAGTTGCAACACATGCACTGGCTCAAGCAGAACCCCTACAGCTGCCGGGAGAACCTGTTTCTGCAGCAGGAGGTCAGCGCCTTGAGAGACGAGCTGCTGGCCTACAAGAAGGCTGGTGGGGGGACGATTGTAGAGAACACCACTACTGGGATCGACCGAGACCTGCCCACCCTACGACAGCTAGCCAAGGACACCGGGGTCCACATTGTTGCTGGGGCAGGGTTCTATGTGGACTCTACTCACACTGTGGCCACTAAGAAAATGAGTGTGGAAAAGGTTTGTGCTCATGCACTGAAATGTTAAAAGTTTTACATAATTGTATCTTGCAAGTGTGTGTGCAGTTTGCAGCAACAACTTTATGGCTTAGTCATAAGATAGAAATTGCTGCCTAATTCTGACATTTTGATCCATCACACAGTTTGTTAATATGCAAGGATTTTCTCTGCAACATTGATTTGAATGGATCTCCAGCTGCTCTGTTCACTCTTTCTGTATTGACACACTGACAATCTGCACGCACTCGTATTATTGTTATTCAAACCTGGCGCCGAGTTTGTTTATGGAAGAGGGAGAGAAATCAGAAAGTGTCAGTAACCTGTCAATTGTCTTTGACGAAAGAGTGACGTTTTTCCATCTTTAACCGCTCATCGCTGTCAGCTCACAGACATCATTGTCAGCGAGGTGCTCCATGGCGCCGACGGCACGGACATCCGCTGCGGCGTGATTGGAGAGATCGGCACCGGCTGGCCCATCACGGAGAGTGAGACGAAGGTGTTGAGGGCCACGGCCTACGCTCAGGCTCAGCTGGGCTGCCCGATTATCATCCATCCTGGCAGGAATACTGCTGCTCCAGCTGAGGTGGTTCGGATTCTCCAGGAAACTGGCGGTGACATTAGCAAAACTGTCATGTCTCACCTGGACAGGTGAGGAACTCATCAAGAACAGACTTTAAATGAGATTTCTCTTCCATGTCTACGGTACAAACATCATGTTCTTCCTATTCTTAAAAAAATATAGAAATATCCATTTTATTGAAAGTGTGAATAATCAATGACCAAAGCCATCTTTTCACTCTCACTCAAGTGTGAAATAGTGAATAGCCTGAAGGTTTTACTCATAATTAATGTCAGATCAGTCATGTTTAGTCATGTCTACAGCAAATATCAGCCCTCTTATTTATAGTACACAAGTTTAATATGGTCTAACTTTTGTGTTATGTTATAATAGTTATATGGTCAACACAAAACATGTTTAGAATCAGAATCAGAATCAGAAAAAGGTTTATTGCCATTGTCAGTGAACAAACAATTCACAAACTAGGAACTTGCTTCGGTACTAACGTGCTACATATAACATGAATAATATAATTAAAAATAGAATAAAGTAGAATAAAATATAATAAACTACCATAAAACTTTGCTATAAAAAAGGCAGGTAATGGTAACATGGCCGATAACGTGACGTTATGTCAAGTACAGAAGACGAGCATGGTTGCGTGTTTATAAGCTGTTCACAAGTCTAACGGCAGATGGAAATAAGCTGTTCTTATGGCGGGAGGTTCTGGTCTGGATTGACCGTAACCTCCTGCCTGAGGGAAGCAGCTAAAAAAGTGTGACCTGGGTGAGAAGGGTCAGCTGCTATCCGACCTGCACGCCCCCGAGTTCTGGAGTTAAACGGTTCTTTGCAGTAAATCCCTCTCACATAGAACGATTTCACCAGTTTGATTCTGGACATTTTCAGTACCTTCCAGAATGAGTCGTTTCAGGATTCTGTCACTTTAAGAAAGCAAGCTGGCGCTGGCCACGCCTACCCTTCCCCACTCAGGCTGCTATTGGGAGCTTAAGTCTACTTCCGCATCATGGGTCCCCGGAAGACCGAAAAAATGAGTGCAAGTCAACGGGACTAAAAACGCTATTTTCTAATCCGCTTTGCCTTAGACCCTGGATCACACATACTGTATGTTGTACTGCAATTCAAATGAAAAGTAATGATGGGTGTTTCGACCACGCCAGTCACGTACTCTGAGATTTATTAGCTTGTAAAAGTTCGTAATTAGCATGACTACAAACTAGAAATTGGCACGTCGCATATGTGACGTCACCACATAATCTCCTCTCCCCAAAGTAGCTGCTGCTCACCAAATGACCAGATTTATGGTGTTTTTTTCCTGCTGTGGGGAGTTTGCTGAACTTACAGTCCTTTTCCCTCAGTTTTCTCCGTGTCTGATTCAATAACGTCGCTTTCGTGAAGCACATTTGTAGTCCTGGACTTATTTTCATACAAAACCTAAAATAGTGTTTCCCCCTGTTCAAAAATAAGCGCGTTCTTGGTATCAAAATGTGTCTTTAAAATTCACAGACATCATATGTGAAATCCGTGGCACAAAACAAGCGGGATTAGAAAATAGCGTTTTTAGCCCTATTGACTTGCATTCATTTTTTCATTCTTCCAGGGACCCGTGGTGCAGAAGTAGGTGGGTGTGACTTAGGCTCCCTAAGCTGAGAAGTTCAGATATTCATTAAGGCTGAGCTGCTTCTTCTCCAGTCTGGAGAGGTGGTTCTGTGTCAATTTGTGATGTCACAAACGGGAACTTTTACGTAATTCCCCAAACTAAACACTGACAGAAAATGGGTGGATGGTTTTGTTTTTATGTTTGGAGTTTTTATGAATGTGGTAGAGCATAGAAGAATGGAAAAAGTGAGTTTTACATATTATGTCCCCATTAAAAGGAGTTAAAATAAACAAATAATTGTGTTGTAGTGTTCTAATCTCTGTAAGAACATTTTCTTCAAGAGGCAGCTGGATCAGTTGTTTTTGTTATTTTTTTTCTTGCAGGACTATATTTGATGAAGAGGAGCTACTTGAGTTTGCAAGTCTGGGTAGTTATCTTGAGTACGATCTGTTTGGAACAGAGATGCTGAACTACCCGTTCAACCTGGATGTGGACATGCCCAGTGACAGCCAGAGAGTGAAGGCGTGAGTGATTCTGATCTGAGTTAAAACAAGAGATGCGCTGGATCGACTGGTGGTCGGAACTGGCCAGCATCCAGCACGGTTGGCTTAATCTGGGATCGGGTTATCTGAATCTCAAACACCAGCTCCAGGTGGCAATAAGAGATCAAACATTTTTCATGGTCTCTAAACATGCCATTGCTAAGGGCTAATTTACTTCACAAATAACAGATATTTCCTTTTAGAATGGGTTGCTTCAGAAATTGTGATTTTTATGTTGATACAAAGTTGGAAAAAAGATGTTTAATATAGCTCTTTGATAAACCAGAATTGAGAGTTGGCATCAGCCAGCTCCAAAATCTGAAACCAGCACCAGAATTTGTGCATTTTCATTGAAAACCATTCTGAGTTTATACATTTTAAAGCTGTTTTCTTAGTCCTAAATGTCCATTTAAATATTTAAATTTATTATCACAGTAAATTTGTATAAAAGCACCCCCCACCACCAAAAATCAGCTGGTGATCAGAATCAAGATAATCTGTAAACAGTTGATTGAAAATCCAACAGTCTGAATTTTTTAAAAGTTCTTAGATGTTCTGCTGCTATGCCGCTAAACTATCCATCTTTTAAAGAGGTTCTTCACTCACATTATGAAAAGTGTGGTTCACTGAAAAAACTTTTTTTATTATTATTTCTGATCATAATAAGTCACTCTGAGTTTTTCATGCAGGCTGAACATGAAAATAGTCTCCTACACCTATCTCCTTCATTAGCTTCTGATAAAAAATAGATAGCGAAACTCTAGGATTTGGAAATCTTTACAGATCTATGTCACACTGTCACTTAACATTCATGGACTCTTCCATTTTTACTTGTGATGAGGAAGGCTGTTGTTGGTTTAGCTTCAAGGAAACAGCAGAGAACGTCTTGACCAGTAGAAGCTAACCATTAGCATAAGCAACTCCACCACACAGCAAAACACCTCCAGGCTTGTGTTATTTGTGGAGATAAAACACCAACGTTGCAAAGCAAACTGAGCCAGTGGTAGAGTTGCATTGCTGTTAGCCAATCAGAGGTGAGATGTTCACATATCAGGAAATAAGACTCCAAATCCTGCCATCTGAAACCCTCTTCTGATGTGGCTCACTTGTAGTTACTGAAACAGGTACACCAGAGCTTTTTTCACCAGGGTACGACTTACAAGGCATTCATTCCTTTTAGAGATGATAGCAAATGAATTGATTAAATAGGTGTTCCACACCTTTAAAGATCTACTTAGTCTATTTATGTGGCTTATCTACTTAGCAGACTAAGAGCAGTTGTTTTTTATACTCTCCTCTGCGTTTTTCAGGTTGGCGTTTCTGGTGAAGGAAGGCTATGAGGACCGGCTACTGGTGGCGCACGACATCCACACCAAACATCGCCTGACCAAGTTCGGCGGCCACGGCTACTCTCATATCCTCAAGAACATTGTGCCGAAGATGCTGTCGAGGGGCATCTCTCAGCATCAGGTGGACAAAATCCTCATCGACAATCCAAAACGCTGGCTGACCTTTAAATAAATCACCACGAGAGAACACGCGGAAGGCATTTCGATGGAATCTTAATTTTATTTTATACTCGACACCCCATAATGAACATATTCAGAGAAGTTTGGAGCAGCAGACTCGTTAATTCTAATGTGATGTTGGCACCTTAAATCATTCAGCTCACGATAAATGGATGTTGATCATTTTGAATGTTTATAAACATCTTCATCTGTTTCCATGGGAAATAAAGACAAACAGCTTTTTTGTCCAGATGAAACATTTTAATTAGATTCTTTGGAGCCTTGCAGGACTTATGACCCCATTTATGTATGTCTTTTTGACACAAAAGTTAACTTTAGCTTGTCCACATGAGGTCAAGAGGGCGAAGACAAAAGAGAAACACTTCTGCTCACACATATGGTGCTACAGTACCCAGCTTTTGTTTTAATTTAAACATCATCACCCTCTCTATTTGCGACATCTCTGCAAACACGTTAGCTGGCGGGGAAATAATGAGCGTGTTAGTAATCAGTATGCTGCTCGGATCTTGACACATTGTGCTAGATGAGTTGTCCTGTTGCCCCTCGCTGGGTGTCTCTGCGTGTCTACGGGAGGCTGGCGGTCTGGCACAGATGAAGGACGCGTCCTGCTCTCATCTGGGAACAGGTGGCCTCACAGGGTGACTTCAGCACATGATCAATGGTGCGATCGCCATAGCTGACTGTATGTGTGTGTCGTGAACAACTGTATAGCTTCGATGAATCTTCTCGGGGACTGCCACAAAGTGAGCCAGAGGATTTTTAGTTTGACACGTCGTCGGGAGAAGGCTTAAAAAGCGGATTTGGAGAATGTTGGGACGTGTCAGTCGGCGGTACTGTCCACTTCTGAGATGGTGACTAACCACCAGGCTACCCTGCTGCCTGAACCAGATGTCACCTCTGAGCACACGTGAAGGATGACTCGAGTGTTCATGTTGCGACGATGCTTCAAATCGAACATCACAATGCCCCATTAATTAGATGTACACTTTTAAAATGTCATTTTTTAAATAAGCATGCATCATCACAACTTGTAATATTTTTACCCCCAAAATGCAACAGCTAGGGTGTGTTATTTTGAATAAATAAAGCACATAAATTGACTTAAAACACAGTGAAATGAGTTTGAAGCATCCAGAATCGAGTGCTAAATGTCAACACACTGATATTTCAATTTACACCCACTCAGTATATGTTACAGCAGCTACAGTTGGTTTGACACTTCAGCAAACTAAATTAGTAAAGCAAAAAGTTCATTCAGAGTGCACACTAATCAGTCTGACAGCTTGGCTGTGGCTACAAATTAAACTGGTCTTGTGATTACATTTTTCAGCCTTTCGCTGCTGCAAACACAGTTTTTTGCACAACTTCCTTCATATCAATTTTGATTATTTTCAACAGAAACTGTGAGGTCTGTCTCATATATTCCAGCTGACATTGGACTGAGCAGGAGCATTGAAGCAAGCAATGTGCAGAGCGGCTCTCCTCCTCCTCCTCATCCTCCTCCTCCAGCTGTTGTGCTGCTCCTGCTGGGTTCAGTCAGCATACAGCATGAAGCCGGAAAAGGTGCTGTATTTGTTGTTGTTGCCTCCGTGTGCCTTCCCTCCGTCCAGCTTGATGTAAATTTCGTCCCCGGGCTCCAGATGAAGAACGACGCTGTTGCTGGCATAGTCGTAGTTTTGGTCCGCGTCCTGCGCGATGGCGCTGGCTCTCACCTGAAAGAGAAATGTCACACGCACCTGCTGATTAAATGATTAAATCAGAACCGCTGGATCTTTTGTAAAACTTATTAAACCCGCATTAAAATCAATTTTAGTCTAGAATTAAGTAAACGTTTTATGTTACCGCGTCTCTTGGAGAGACTCCGTGCGTAAAAGCGCACAAAACGTCAAAAACGTGAACTCTACATGACACGTGTACCGTGAAAAGCCAAGTTAAAGCACGTTTTGTGTTGTCATGGATCCTTGCATACCTGGTTGTTTTTGCAGAGGTCGGCCCACATGCTGGTTCCGTCCCCGCCTCGCATCAGCACATGGTAAACAAAGAAGTAAATCCCGGGGATCGAACAGGTGAATTTTCCGTTTGATGGATCGTAGTGGTTACCGAGATTAGTGACAACGTCATCAAATTTTAAAACTTCGTAGCCCTCGTGCTGCTTCTTCAGCCCTGCGTAAAAGGCGATCTTTGGCACGGTGTTGTAAGTGGCTGCGCTGATGGCATCGTTCGGCCCGTTTGCTCCTGGTAACCCGGGTGGACCCGGAAGGCCGGGTGGTCCTCTCTCTCCTGGCGGACCCGCCGGTCCCGGTGGCCCGGGTTCACCCACCGGGCCCCTAGGTCCCATCCTCCCGACCCGACCCGGCTCTCCTTGCGGACCTTGGATGAAGGTTGGCAGCGACTGGAGAAGCCGGTTGTCTTTGATCGGGCTGGTAGCCTTCGCCGTGGCCGCGGTCGCGGTCCCGTGAGAATCACACACCATCTGACAGGATCCGAGCATCTCGTAGCGAGCAGGAGTTCCGGCGGAGTTCACCATGACCGGAATCAGCACCACCAGCACCAGCACCAGCGCGACGCTACAGACACCAGTTGCGATCATCTGCGCTCTGCGGACCTGCGGAGTTCTCCCGATTGGATGGTCTTCCAGCCTGCTTGTGGGTGATATTTTTGCAGAGGAAAGAATCGGACGCGCTCTTGCACTGCGCTACTTTGACCTTTGGAGATAAAAAAGTCCATCAAATGAGCGCGCGCTAAAACCAGCATTTACAACTTGTACCTCTTGCAGAATCGGTCCACAGTTGGTTCATCTCCACCAGAAACTGGAGACTCGAAGTCCAACGCGCAGCTTTCTGCAAGTTTCAGCTTTAGGAGAGAGAATGGGCTAGAAACCAAGCGCTTCTGGATTTGAGGAGTGAAGGGAGGGGTGGAGGTGATGGATGGAACAGTCTGTGCGTTTCTTCAATCAAATGAGAGGAGACCAACATACAAACAATGGTGATGCTTGAAAGTTTAAAGAAACATTCTTTAAAATACATTTTTGTTTAAAGTTGTGTTGAGATGGTTCTCTTAAATCACTTCCTCCCTCATTGATTGTTTTAACATTACCACCTATATGTTGTTATTAGGGCTTATCCAAACAACTTGAACATAATTAGGTCCATCTTAGACAAAAAGGTCACATCTCAGTGGCTCCCCGTGTCCAATTTATCACTTGGGGAAAATCTATAGAGCCACTGAATGGAAGAGAGGAGTCAGTAGCAGCTGGCGTTGAAGGATGACTCCACAGATATACTGATGAAACAAATGTTGGGCAATTTACAAAGAAAATAGGGTGAAATAGCTTAATTAATTACCAGCTGGATTCCAGATGTTGTGTGTATTTCTAATATTACATAAGCTGATCTAAGTCGATTAGTGAAAATAAAAGTTCTTAGGAGGTTTGAATGATGAAGAACTGATTCCTGGAGGAGGTGGTGAATGATGAGGAGGAGCAAGGTGATGATTATGTGCTCAAGAATGCACACACACACACACACCTGTTGGTGTAAAACCAAACAACTTTTTTAAAGTGACAAATCATGATCTGATAAAGTTCAATCAGAGAAAATAGATCAATAGTACTATCAGCTTTATGGGGGGACTTTCAGGATGTCATATGTGTTTGTGCAAGAAGCAAAAGTACTTTTATTACTATTATTTTAAGAACATCTTTAAAAAGGCAGAGCCAAAAACCTGATCGCTGTCCTTCATCCAGACTGGTCTCATGTAACGTCTCCCCCAGTTTGCAAACACACAGCCGAAACATAACAAAAACCAGTGCATCTAAAAGAAAAGCACAAGTTTTTCCCAAAACAAACAGCAAGATGACATTTAACAAAGCACATAATGAACTCCACAACTCTGATAAAAAATAAACAGTTTCAAGCATTGTTGACAAGTTTGAAATGTCGTGTTGTTTTATTGTATTTTTTGTTCAATTAGTTTTTTTTTTACTTTAGATTTTAGGAGTTCAGGCTGTGTGTGTGTAAAATATATTCTACTAAAATAAGGTTATGCACATTGTTGCATGTATCCACAGTCAAAAATAAAGTGACAGGAAGCATATAAATTTACGTATGAAGGTCAGTTGTGGTTTAAAAACTGGACATTGGTGGTCTACACCAATAGGACCACTAGCTGCCTATTTTAAAGTTGAATAATCTCCTAAATGAAAGCTCCACCCTTGTCCTGTTATTTTGCTTCATCAGTTCCTCCTTTGAAATTTGTCAACAGCAAGGCTCGATCAACGCATTTAACCCTTAAATGCCCTACTTGTGATGCAGCATAAACCAAGCAATAAAAATGTTAAAGGTTACAAGATCAAAATAAAAAAATTTTTTTTAAAGTGAGTAATTAAGAAATGTTGTTACCACGGCCTATTCTGCATGAGTTCTGTGTCACCACATCCTGACTCTAGGGCATACCATAAAAACAGCATGACAGCTGACCAAAGTGCTGTACAGTAGTAATAAAAAGGAAAAACCCCAGGATAAAAACAAGATCAAAATCATATAGGAGATAAAATGAATAACCTAAAATTTTAAAAGAAACATACTAGAGTAAAAAAAAACAAACAGAGTCACAATAAAAACATAAAAACAATAAAAGCTTGGTCATTGATCAAAAGCTAAATGATAGAAGTAGGCCTTCAGTACAGACTTGAATCGACCCAGTTCTGGGGCCAGTCGAACACTAAGGGGAAGAGCATTCCAAAGTTTAGGGGCAACGAACACAAAGGCCCGCTCCCCACGAGATTTATACCTCATTTTTGGGATGCACAAAGGCAAGTGATCTGCCGATCTCAGGGCAGGGTGACATGAAGCTAATCTGACATTTAACACGGTTGTAATATCACAACCTGTTGTTTAGATCAAGTGAAGTCAAGTTTATGCTTTTACAGGTACAAAACAAATGGATAACATTTACAGAACCAAACATCACTCCCAATTTGGTTTTCAGTCTAGCGAGAGTGACACACATTCCATGTGCATCAAAGTTTCAGCATCTCATGCGTGCTAGCAGAAAGGTTCAGAAGTCAACACTCCGTTCCACCGAACGTTGTCTTTTCTCGGGGTCCACCGTGAGGTCCTCTTCATACAAAGAGGAACAGGACGTTGATCTGCAGTCGGCCCTCGCCACAGTGGTTACTGATTATTCTAAAAATCAAGGTATAAAATCTAAAGATCATCTACGTTTTAGGGGAAAACAAACCAAACTTTCATTTTCATTTTCATTTTTATTTACGAAAAAGGACATTTTTCATAATTCTGTAAACAATGGGAGAAATTTCTTGTTTACAGTATAATAACGATATTCTAGCCATTTACAAGCTAACTGTCATGTAAACATAAAACAAGCAGTAATATAACTTCCAGAGGTAGTGCATCTCTTCAGGTGAACAGCCTGTGACGTAGTAATCAGTCTGCACATGCGCATTTCCCCAAGGATTTCCCCAATTTACACTAACTGATGAAGGCTAAGGAGCTAATTCCCTGTACGATTTGTCACTGGATATGGTGCTGGCCGGTCACTTACTGTGTCAGCAGAAAGCCAACACGCTGACAGCTGGAAAATGTTTTCGGTTGTTGCAGCTACCACCTTCAATCACTAGATAAGTGTGTGTTCCACATTCAACTTTTAAAGGTGCTATATGTTCACACAGTGTAATTTAATGTATACTAAATTGAGATTGTTACGTTAACAGACATGGGTGCCATATGGTAGGAAAAAGTTATGTCAAATCTAAGGGCCCAAACCAACACCCCCCGACCCCCCACCCACGCTCGCACTTATACTCGAGGCATTACTCTCACCTTTTCCCCCCTGACCTGTTATCATGTATGTACTTTCTTACTGCCATTTTGTGAGTTTTATGCTTTTGCCTGTTTTGCATCAGCACCAGAAGATTCTAGATGACAAAGAAGTGAAGACGAGTCATACACAGTAAGTTGATCCGTATATAAATTGTCATTTCTGGTGTTAGCACACTTGGGTGTTTAACGGTAGGAAGCACTTACTACACCTATTACAGTAGTTTGTCTCCGACATTACAAGAAGTGTTGTTTGCTGTCTTGCTGGTAGTTTGCTGTTATGGTTCTGAACAAATCTTTAAAGGAAGTAAAACACCACGACTGACTCATTATTCACTTCACACATACATTTCACTGTAACATTGAGTTGTTCATTTCATTTCATTTATTTATTAGATCCCCATTGGCTGCTGCTTCGTACAGCAACTATTCTTCCTGGGTTCCGACACCACAATACAGCAACCAATATTTACATTAAAATTCACTCAAACATTCTCACACAACAACAAAAAACACAAAAAAACATCTGCTCAAATTACACAATAATTACAAACCATGGCAACAGCTGCATCAGCCATTTTGGACATTTCCTTCACATGTTCAATCACAATTCCCATAACTAAAACATAAATCTAAGGCTCTTCTTAAGATAATAGCACTTTTACTGCTGTGTCAACAAAAATATATTTAACTTCTTTTGTAAGTAATTAAATTATCCTCCAATACTAGAAAGTTAGATAACGTGTTCCAAGCCACCATTACTCTGTTACTCACAGTTTTTTGTTTTAAAGTTGTTCGACACCTAGGTAACACAAACCTATAGAGTGACATTTGCCTAATAGAATGATGATCTGAGAAGAATAGAAATTTTCTGTAAAATAACTCTGGTACTTTAGTCATCACTACTCTCTGAACAAAACACAAAAGTAAATACTTCATTCTATTTTCCACATGCAATCATGATAGACGAGAATTCATTACACTTATTCTAGTGCTATATGAACACAGCAAAGCCAGACGAGCCGCTTTATTCTGAGCTACCTGTAATATGGCCAAGTTACCCATCGATGTACTCGACCAGACTACAGAACCATAATCCAGATATGCCAATACTAAAGCTTGGACTACTTGCCTTAGCAGTTGATTAGACATAGACTTCCTACTGTATCTACCTACAGCAATCCCTCTTCCCATTTTCATCAGTACCTGGTCAACATGATTATTCCATGACATTTGGTTATCTACTATTACCCCCACTAAATTAACATCCATGGCTTGCTCTATTTTTGTGTCACCTACCATCAGCACTAACCTTGGGTTTTCTTTTAAGGAATATTTAGATCCTAAAATAATACACTTGGGTTTTTTCTTATTCAAAACTAATTTATTTCTTGTCATCCATGTGTCTATTACTGCAAATTCCTCATTTAGAATCCTGTTTAAATCCATATCTGTATCTGCAGAGGCATGGATTGTGGAGTCATCTGCATACATTGTAATAGTAGCTTGATGTGAACTAAGAGCTAAGTTATTGATAAAGTTTGAAAACAACAATGGTCCCAGAGCGCTCCCTTGTGGCACCCCACAGCTCACCACCACTTGCTCAGAATAACTTCCATTGAAATATACTATATTTATACTAAATTTTTCCTATCTGTTAAAAAGCTGGCAGTCGATTCAAATCCATAGCACTGCAACTTATCCAATAACACATCTTGGTCTAGTACATCGAAAGCTGCACTTAAGTCTAACAGCACTGCACCAATTAATTTTTATTATCCATTTCTGTCTTCCAATCATCAGTCATCTGCGCAAGAGCAGTAGCCGTGGAGTGCCCTTTCCTGTATGCATGTTGATTTACTGAATTCAGTCCATTTATACAGAAATATTCTTGAATTTGTTCACATATTACTTGCTCCATTATCTTACCAAGAGCTGGTAGTAAACTAATGGGTCTGCTATTTTCTCCAGAAATTGGTTCTCTATTGTTCTTTGGTATTGGGATTATTTTGGCTATTTTCCATTCCAATGGGCAAACACCTGCTCCTAGACTTGTATTAATAATGTGAGCCACAGGTATTGCAATTAAATCATCTACCAACTTTAACAACTTCATTTCCAATTCATCAACTCCAGCTGGTTTTTCTTTATCAGCCTGAAGTACCGGTAATTTTGCTATTTTATCTGCATCTACAGTCACAAAAGAAAATTTACGTCTTGTTTGCCATAATTTTCTCTCTTATTAATTCACCAGATAATCCTGCATCTTTATCCACAAAGCCATGTCCTTCCCTTATATTTTGAATTTTATTACTAAAATAGTTGCTAAAATAGCTAGCTATTTCTCTCGGCTTGGTGAGAACTTTCCCGTCCACTTCTAAAACAAGATGCTGTTACCCTTCCTTTTCTTCCCATTAATTCATTAATCGTATTCCACATTTTTTTATTATCCTCTTTTACAGAATCAATTTTACTTTGATAAAACACTCTTCTTTTTATTCTATTTAATTTTGTGACTTGATTCCTCAGTTTCTTGTAAGACTCCCACCTCATTGTGTCTCCTGATTTTATCGGTTCTGCCTTTGCCTTCTCTCTTAATGTCATTTTCTTTCTAAGTTCTTCATCCAACCAGGGAGCCTTAGAGTTCCTCACAGTTAATGTTCTTATTGGTGCATGTCTCTCCTCTTAGAGCCTCATTAGGATCAATCTCTTTCAAAATTATCGACCAATCAATGCAGCTTACATCCATGTAATACTTATTCCACTCCAAGTTCTTTAAGATCCGCTTGAAAATGATCTTCTGACCAGATTTTGGCATTTTTTCTTTCGGCCTATTGCTACTAAATTGCGATCACTA